GGCAAGCTCAGCTGACCCAGTGTTGTCAATGACCATGCCAAGATAAACAAACAACAGCTTCAGGATAAACCATACACTTGTGGTTTATTGATTAGTATAATGGTTTGAATTACTAATACACACACCAACTTATGCATGAAGTATCAAGATATGGGGCCAATTATTTACACATGCATCAATATGATGCTATTACAGTGTGGCGGCTGGTTTCCTAATATCTAGTACTATACTATAGTATAGAAGTACACTACACTATGGTATAGTAAAGCAGTACTATGCTATAGGATAGCGGTATACTTTACTATAGGATAGCAGCATACAATACTATAGTATAGCAGTATACTATACTTTACTCACAGTGTCATTTTACTAGTCACTGGCAGGACTGTGAGCCCTATTCACCTCAATCAAATATCAATGCAATATCAGTTCAATATCAAATTGACCTCCATTCAGTTGGAGTGGGAGATATGCACAGGCTGCATATACTAGCAGACCCACATGGAGCTATTTCAGTAGTACAGCTGAAGGTGAAAATTGATGTCCAGAATCTTCCTGTGGCTTCTTTTCAATTGCTCAGTATGGTATATTGAATTCTAAAAATTTGATATACAGGAGAGTTTGAACTCGTGTTGTATGCTTTGATGGTCTCCATGGATTCATATCTCCAATTCAATTACAACCCATGGGTAGCTTCACAGAATCAAGGATGCATGATCCTCAAAAATTCTGATGAGAGTGGTGAAACCCAAAGATCAAGAGCAAAGTGAATGGATGTGTTGCCTTTTCTCTCACTTTGTGAGATGTTAGAATCTTCACATGATCTTTTGGAGACATTTCATGAAAGTATATGGACAACAAACTAAATTGATGAAAAGCTCTAACTCAACACAGATAATCCACGAGACTTAAAATTGGATGTTATAAAAAGACAACAAGTGTGGAAGGCAAGCTTTTACATTGAGGCCACATAAAAAAAACCCTACTTATTGTTATTCAGTATCCATAGTGTCAGCTTCCAGATTGATCTCTTGCAAAAATCCTTGGAAAGTTGCAAATTGGATCAGGAAATGTCTACCTGATACCTTGAGTACTCACCAGATTTGTCAGCTTCAGTCAGCTCCACATTTGGAAGGTTTGGGCAACCAATATCAAACTGACCAGCTGCATTATTTTGTACAACAAGCTGTCCAATAACTTTGTGACATGGTACAACATGAGTATACACATGTAAATCATAAAAAACTGATGCATTCAGCCAAACTGGCATCAAAGCTTATAGGTTATTGATCTCATCTTCAGTGTTCAAGCACTTCAGTGATTTAACCAATACACTGTTTTCACCACATCTGTTCTTGACATCGAGAAATGCAGATTGGTTGAAGTTTGGTGGCAGAAACATCATGTTTATCTTTTTGTTTTGTTACTCAGTACAAACTTCAGAGACCCTCAGCTTTTTAAAAACTGGTACAGCTCAGACCTGCAGATCAATGTGCCAACCGATTTTAGTTACTGTACAATGTTCAATTTCTTATGTGTCAGTTGAAATGTTTGATATCAATATAATGGATTCAATCCCAGCCAAACTGAATCAATGGACTTTTACGTTTATTCATCTTAAATCTGCAACAAAACTAACACTCAACCAATAGATCAACTTCCAGAACTTTGACCTGTCAAGTTTCATCTGTGATTGTAGTAGAAACGTTCAGACCTATCAGCAACATAGGAATCAAGTTGACCTCTCAAGGATGAGTATAGTTGTTTTTATTCATATTTGATATCCCTTCTAGTCATATTGTTAATGCATAAATAATACTTGATTAGTTACCAGTTGAAGACATTCCAGATGCTGGACAAAGTTTGTTATCCAAATTCCAGGCTCTCTGATATACATCCATTCAACTTGGTTTTCTGAATCTGTCAGAATGCTGTCAATTTCTTGTATTAATTGATTGATAGAGAGAATGATAAGCTCAAATATAATTATGGTGATTCTAAAATGGCCTTGAGTCTCATACCAACTGATAACCATCAATCTTTTGCCACATTCATATACATTTTGAAGACTTCAAGCAGCAAAAAAATCTTGTTTTTCAATTCCAATTCACCTTTCAATACAAAATTGTCAGCCCTGAGTACTAAACCAGAGTACCAATGGGCGACGTATTGTAATAAAAACCTTAAAAATAGCAATTACAACTCAAGGCCCAGTTTCGACAGTCGAGTTACATATGATTTAGCATATGTAACATGTGCAGAGCTTACATCAAAGGGTGTGAACATACATAACTTTGATGTAAACCAAAGGTACATAGATTTCACAGCTGTAGCACATATGTAACAAGTGAAATATGCTTATAATCCAATAGTAACTGTCTTACTGTGATTAACCTAGCCATAGAACCAAAATTTGTGCGCACTTGTAGTCCAAAGATTTCCAAGGTTCAGACTATATAAACCATAGAAATCCAAGCAAATTGAGAGGAAACACATTATCACATTATTATTCAACAACTACACAACTTTGCTTTTATTCATCTTCCTAGTAACCTTTAAACTTTACTTATCAATTACCAAACTTTAAAGGCCTGATTCTACGAACCTTGAAACTCAAACCTTGTGCCTTGTTGCTTATTCTGTGTGCTGATTCAACTTTGTTTCTGATTAGACTCCATAATCAGTATTTGTGGTAATATCCATTTGGTGGAATTACTTGTAAGGAAGTAATCCTTGTGTATTGCTCATATCAGATTAGGGATTCATCTGATATAAGAAACTCTAAATCTACAGGGAAATCTCTATTAGTCAGAGTGTAAAGTTCCCGGTGCTATAATAGACCTTAACACCACCTTCTTTGACCTTTCTTTGAATAAGAAGAGGATCAAACTAAGATTGAGGACTGCGCGTCAGTTGCTCTTCTTTTTAATTATTGTAAAGACAAAAATTAACCCAAAATCCCTGGGCTATGGCCTGTGTTTAAAAGTCAACTAACTGTAGTCTTTACTTGTTTATTGCAAGTATCGCTCTCACACCCAGATCTCTACCCATTCATACTTGTAGATATTGATCTACACAGCTTTGGTAGAAGTTATCAGACCTTCTACAACTTTTTTATTGACTCTACTAGCCTAACAGACGCTAGTAGGATCACAAAAATGGTCTGCCTCTTATCATTATTACAATAGGCGTAATCAAATTTTCCAAGTCAATCTGTTGCTCTTATTATTACCTCCAACTAAATCTGCAACCCCCCCAGAAGGCCAAAATCATGAGACATGGTTCCAGCCTTCCAGCAGGTATTTTGCAGGTTTGGTCAGAGCTAGCATTAGACTCAATTTTTAGGGTCTAGTCAAGGCTTGACATTCATGATGATCTATGCCTCACTCTTGATCCCTATTTATACTAATTTTCATACTTTTTGTGACAGTGCTTTTGATATCTTTCATTGTACTTTTACTGGATGCTTTTTGGGCCTCCATTTCCTGTTTGTTTTCACCACATGCTGTCTCTTTTGCTGTTAATCAAATAATGTGTGATGCAATGACAATTCTGATCTCCTTGATTGAGCTTTTGTCAAACATTTTTGTCCCCCATCCTCTCTAATCAAAGTCTATCATGTGCTGTTTTATCTCTTGCTTTTCAATGTTGTGTGATGGACTTTTGTCAAACATGTGCGTAATCTTCATGATTACACTTTTGGTGATCAATTTTATGCGCTCACTCACTCACTCATTCAAAATTTATTCCCTTTGTGTGCTCCAATCAAATGCACACTTTGTGCATTTTGTATGCATTCTGTGATTGATATCAATTGCATTCCATGTTGTGCCATATCTTATGTGCTTTGATTATTGCTATCCGTGTCCGTCACAATGATTATAACAAATGCTGTTTCTAGCCTAATGCAGATCCATATATTTACTTAACAAAGTTATGATCTGGCTTTCCATTCCATCTTATTCCACCCAACCTGGCCACCAATCCTTTCCTTCCAGCCAAGTCCGGTCATCACCTCTCCTTTTGTGAGTTCTTTTGTACTTGCCTCTTGTTCTCTTTTTACTCCATTCTTCTGTTTTAATCAGCAAACAAAAATGTCTCACCATCACTATTCCTTCCTCTTCAACACAATTTCAAACTCAACTTGACTCACTTTGATTGACTCGCCTCAACTGGCTTACATTTTTCATTTGGATTTAAATCTTATGAATTCAAGTAAAACCTTATGCATTCAAAATACAAACTGATTCCTTCAAAATAAAAGCATGTCCTGTCAAAATCAATCCATGTCCCTTCAAAATCAAGACTGATTCATTCAAATCCCAAACTTACGCGTTCACATTATATTCTTCCAAATTCAAACCTTAACCTTTTAGATTCAAACTGATTCATTGTGGTGAAAACAAACCGAAGTGAGTTACTTCCAGCATTAAAGACATTTCCAGATGTGAATATGGGTCCTAGAGACCAGATTCCCCTTCTGTTACTGTTACACAGCTTCAGGAATATTGCCTGAGTAGCCATTGTGATGTACGTAGTGAATTTTTCAGAGTTCTTGTCCCAATCTGAACAAAATTATAGCATGAACTACACGTGATTTTCTTATCCAGATGAGCAGATAACTGAGCTGATCTGTACGTATCTGATAGCTAAGGATTCACTCAGATGTTTGCACATATGTAGCATATGATTTATGGCCCAGTTGTGCAGTGCAAGATGATTTCATGTTACAAGACACCATAACACAGGTGGTTCATGTGTCCATGATGGCTTGTGGAGGTTTGTGAAAGGTGAGCATGTGAAACTCTAAAAATTGGAGAAGGCAGAAGGCCTCCCAAATTTGCCTCACAGAGTTTTTCTCCTACACACTCACTCGATGCTTTCCCATAACCTTAAACAAGACTCATTGCTCATTCACGTCGTGTATATTCTGCGCAGGAACTATCATCAATCAAGACACATCACTATCAAGAACCAAATCAAGTCAGCAGTAATCAACAATGGAAAGCGCCATTGCACAAGCAGAAGAAAAAGCAGCAGAGGAGCGTGCAGCAAGAATAACAAGAGCAAGATCAAACGCAATGGGCCAAGCTCCAGGCCCACCTTTAGCAACTCCTTTTCGTAACATCAGTAAACCACCTCCTCCACCCACACTGGCTCCAGAATTAGCTCCCTGCAGCAAGGACGGATACAACCTGGAAAACTCTCCTGATCCAAACCCGGATTGTCTGATACAACCAAACAAGGGTATAGCAATACGTAGTGGTCCACTGATGCAATAATTAGATGTGGAGAAAGAATCCTGGGTCCCACTCCCGGGCATAGGGAAGAATCAAGAACCTAGATCAGAAACGGTGTCCTCACACCCAGAAAATGCTGAAGACGTACAAGATGGAATAATAGGTAAATATTTCACTTGCCTCAATTTTACCTGCCTATATCTCTACTCCACAGACCCCCTCTCGACCTCAATGAACACCAAGATGCCATACGCACAGTGAAGGCAAAAGGCAGGGCAGCGGCATGACATACACAAAGCGTAAAACTTGCCCGGCGTAGTTCACCTAGCTGACGCGAAGCGTAGCAGGGGCAGACCTAGCCGGCAGTGCAGGTGTTTGAATCTGTAACTTCCAAGGAAGATGATGGTGGTGGAGAAATCCCACGTAAAGATACAAAGGACATGAATCCTGACAAAGTCTACTGTGAACAGATGTACCATCAGGCCCACTCAAGTAATTGACTTACCTGTCCGTGCAAGGGAGGCACATGGATGGCTCAGCATTGATGAACTACATAGCGGTGGAGGCAGATTGAGAGCAGGCGGGAGCTAGACAAACCTCTCAAGACCTCTGAATACCAAGTGGCAGTGGATTGGCGCAAAGTAGGCTGTGCAATCTGATTGCAGAAGAAGCCTCATCCCCGGGAAGCTTGATCATTACACTACCTCTCGCAAAACGAACTTTCCTGGAGGCACAGCAGCCAAATCACCAACACACAACCAGATTCTTGGAGCAGTATTTGTCATTTTAAAGAAACCCAGTAGCAACGGATCATCCAGCTTACGTCACAAAGGCCCCAACCTCACAACATCCAAAAGGCCAAGGCAAACACAGCAATGCGCCAACAACTCATCAACCTCTCCCTGAGCCGACATGATACTACTCCAATAACTACCAACACAAACCATTGTGTGAGAGGTCCTCAGCGGCAAGGCAATCCCCCCCCCAGGGTGGATCTTGAACGGGGGCTATCAGAGGAGGAACAAGTAAAGGTCCCCATGGCAACAAAGAAAGGCCGGCTGGTGCTACAAAACGGCAATGTCGTAGAGAATGGACGGCTCTCAATAGCAGATCCTATAGACAAGATGAAGAAAGGGTTAACTCCATTTTCCCCAGTCCTAACACATTGGCTGAAAACGTTTCAGTTGTACGTACCCTTAACTGCATTCAACCACATTTTCCTTCTGGATGACCAGCAGGAGTGGAGCCAGAGGAAAGCCCCAGCAGACTCCAATATTGCCAATGGTTCTGCCTCTCTTTGCGTCTACAGCGGACCACCACCCCCGGAGGAACTGACAATGCAACTTTGAGCATTGGATAGATAGGATGGTGCTTTTCATCAAGTACGTTGCAGACGCCGGTAGGCAAACATTGGCTGAAGTTTTTGAAGGACATTGCAACATGGTCATGGGAATCCAAGATAATTACGGGTGGATGGTCATGTTACGGTGCTGCCGGCAGCTACGTCAAGGCGTCATGCAAGAACCAACAGACAGCAAGATCAAGAACTTTAGTACATTTCAGACAGCAATTTTTGATGAAGCAAAATTGGTGGCAGACTCGAAGCAAGAACACACTTACCGGTTGAACCCTTACGCCCCGGATGGCCCTCTACCCCTCTCTGAAGCTTCCACGTCAAAGAAAACAACAGGAGAAATGCCCAGAACCCAAAACACTCAGGAGTCAAGAAACACCGGGGTGGAAGGTGGCTACTCAAAGAAGTCCAAACGTACCTGGGTTACAGATGAACTTTGGGGAAAGATGTCCCCGGAAGATAAGAGGAACGCTCACAAGTCTACAACTCAACACCAAACAACTTACCAGTACAAAGAAGAAAAGATGTGCCGGCGTAGAAGGAGGTACAATCATGACCATCGGGGCCAAGGACACAGAAGAAGGCCATCAAGGAGCAGAAGCCCTTGGGGAGACAGATGTAAGAGTAAAGGGGGCATAAATTTGTAAGCTATACCTGAAAGATTGAAATGAATGTTTCCGTCATGAAACACCAAGACCAATTCCATCACAAGGAGATGAGAGCATGTGTGGTATCCAAGCCCAGATGAATCAGGTCACTTACATGAATCTACCATCTTGCCATTCCCTTGCCACAATCCGGACCCCCTGAAGTTCTGGCGAGTGAGGGATCATTGCCTAATGTTACCTGTGAGATGCACATACCAGTGTGGAGACAAGAACTGGCTAGGGCTAGACTATTGCCAAAATACAGACACATCTTACTTGGTTTAGTGAATAGATTTGACCAAGGAATCAAAGAAGCAGATGTACCAGACGTACCTTTCTTTTGTCCGCCAAACCATGCTTTGGCATTGGCAGCCAAAGACAAGATAGAAGAATCATTTTGAGTTGAGCTCGCAGCCAGTAGGATGGAAGGCCTATAGACGTTTTGGCTTCTTTCAGACAAGCCCAATTGGCGCCGTGGTGAATAGTAGCAGATCCACCGGACAATCTCTCCTTCCCAAGGAGCAACCCATATGTACAACCGGTAAATGCAGACGTCAACAAAAATGACTTTGTGACGTCCTGGGACAACTTCAACATGGTAGCAAGGTTCTTAGGTTGCACGCAAGAAGCAGTAGAATTGGCAATCTACGGCTGGGGTAAGGTGTACCGCCAAATACCCACTTCAACAGACCAATTGTGGTTTCTCATGATCTTAACCTTTGGTAATCAAATCCTCCTTGACAAACGTATCACCTTTGGAAGCGTCTCTGGATGCGGCAGCCTGGCAAAGTAGCTGACACATGGGAAGATGTAATGCTGTCATGATTTCCCCTCCTGAATGTGTTTTGATGGGTGGACAATACAATGTTTGTCAGCATAAAAGGTGAGGTGAATCCGGTGTCCCTGGATGACGTCTCGGCCTTGAGCGCGGGTATGGGGTGAGAGAAAACATTGAGAAGCGACAAGAATTCACAGAAGAACAACAATATTTAGGTTTCATCTGGAATGTAACAGAAAAGACTGTCAGACTCCCATACCACAAGATACAAGAAAGGAAAAAAGAGGTAGACACATTACAATACAAAGCACACACATTCAAGAAAGTCAAAAAACTACACCACGGGGGGACTCTGGGTCTGAATGTGGTCTTTTAAAAGTCGTGTCGAGCAAGCCTGGCTCGCAGCGCTGCAAGCCGCAATTCCTGAAGTGCAGCGATAAATATAATCGGCCAAGCCCAGTAGCTTTAGCCGCAGCGGGAGAAAGACCCTCACATGAAAAATAAGCTGAAAGTGTTATTTTTTATCGCAGCGCTTTGCAGCGTTGCATGACAAAAAAAAGCGTTTTTTTTTTGTAAAGGGAGCCACAAATTTAAACATCACTTCCAAATATAGATCAAGAGTAACGACCGTAAAGAAAAATTAACAAAACAAATTAAAGGAGTGTAAAGAAAGTTTTTTTAAAAAAATCAAAAAAAAAACAAGTTTAAGGAGTGTAAAGAAATGAAAACACTACATTAAAAGACAAAACGAATAAACAAACTAGAAGTGAGACCTTCTGGTTTTCTTTTGAACCACTTTCTTGCCATACTCAATGACTTTGCCAACGTCAGCAAAGTCACCGGTTAACGGGACTCCTTCCAGTGACCATATCTGACTGCTTACCAACATCTTGATCATACAAGGAACCAGCCCACCTCGTTCTGCTGTGCACACTTTTCCGGCAATAGAGAAGGATCGTTCAGGGGCCGCTGAAGAAGCCGGTGTTGCAAGGTAGTTCCGAGCCAAAACCGACAAGACTGGGTACTTTGATCCATGAGTCTGAATAAGATCAGAGGTCAGTATAGGAGTCTGGAAAACGAAAGGAGAATGTACAAGGAGAATGTACTCACATTCCACCAGTCCAACGCATGTTGGGGGTTGTGTGCGTCAGGGGAAAGCATCAGATCGATGCCTTGGATGTAATGGTTGAGCTCACTGAAACCATTTGGTGTCTCGACCTCATCGTAGAGATTTAGAAAGGCGTCTCCAAAAGATTTGGTAGCCGATCTGATTGGTGAAGAAGTTGAAGGGCTGGCCGGTTGAGTTTGAAGTTCACTTGCATCCCGTTCCTCGGTAAACACGTCTTCTAATAGTCTTACGGCGCGCTTATGATTGGGAGACCCCTCTTCAAAAGCACGAGAGAAAAATCAAACTCGGAGACTAGGGTGAAAGACACTTGCTAAGACAAGTGTGTCACACTCGAGAGCTTCCTTGAGATATAGATCAATTTTATTGATCATGATATCTACCATTGGATAAAGCGGGTTGTTGACATGCATTCTGTCCAATCTATCCTGCATGGACGACTTGAGATGCATGTACTTGACCAGTACCATACATCCTGTGGGCTTGTCACCCTCCATCTCACGGGTTAGTACCTTGTATGGCTATCAGATAGGGTTGAGTTGAATGTGGTCAGTATTGAGAAAGACTTAAAGGTATGAAAGTATGAAGTGGAACTACTCACTGTGAGAATGTCCAAAAGATCTCGCAGAGCTTGCCAATCGGCTACAGAGAATACAACCTCTTCAAAATAGCCTTGCTTCTTGCCGTCCTTCCGTGGACGTCGTTTCTTTGAATGTACCTCAGCTAGATCGTCTTTCATCACTCGATCAATCAGCTGAAAGAGGAGATCAAGCCAATATATTTGGCATAATTAGCCATCACATAAAACCCGTCAAATCCAAAATAAACAACTCACATCTCGTGCGTGCCACATTCGCTCCCACCGCTCCGCCTGGATTCCCCATTGAATACCGTGACCTGATAAAAGGGCCTTGAGTGCCGGTAATTCATCATTCTTACGTTGGACATTTGCTCTTTCTCGTCTTTGATTGAAGTCCGCACGGTGACCGCTAGACCTTGTGAGCTTTTTATTCACAGTGTCCATCTAGAATGTGATGAAGTCGTCATCAGTCATGTGAAGTCAAATGGAATAGATAAATAAAACAAGGGACTTACATCCTTGGTCAAAGACTTCATATATGTATTGCCGAGAAGATAAGCATCCTTACGTCGATGATAAATCTCAGGTTCATCATCTTTTTCACAATCCTCCTCTTCTGGATCGTTGTTAGAACCATCTGAGTTGGAATCACTGCTATGATTGCTATCTAAGTCATCCTGATCATCACTATCCAAGTTATCTTCATGTAATTCAGATTGGCTTAATTCAGGTGCGATCTTGTTGACTTCATCTTCGTCCTCGTCAATAACAGCTAGTACTTCTGCTTGCGGGAACCTACCTAAAGTATTGTGGCGGATTCGTCTAGGTTTCATTCCAAGGGCATCAAGGCCGGCCTTGACAATAAGACCCATCTTATGACAAAAGCATCTAATCGACATTCGTTTTGGATCCCAAGATAGATGATGGCCGGAGATGAGGCCCTCTTCCTGGAGCTGTTGATGAATTTCACGGCCCATAGTAAAATTGTTGCTACCTGAATGTGACACACTGGCAAGCATGTGAGATTTGAGGACATGTCAGGACTTGTCAATAGATAGATAGAAAGATTGGAAAAGGGACTTATCTTCTTGTAAAGGTCATTTTTTTTCAGAATAGTTACCATAGGTTCAGCAAGTAATTGACCCTGGTGATGCCAAGCAACAAGTCTCATGCTTAAGTGGCGAACCACATATTTCCAGTCACTTGTGATATACGAGACTGATGCTCCAATGAACGCGTGGAGGTTTCCCTTCACCGTCCAAACATCTTGGATGAGACAGAATTTACTGTCTAAGCTCTGAGACAATCAAAAAAGGAAGAACATGTTTTATAAATTTCGAAAGCCGCTGATAACAAAGATTAATATGATGCAAAACTTACTTTGAGTTCCTGCTCAATAACCAAACCACGAAGCGAGAGGTAAAGGCGTTTTTCCTCATCAGCAGACCATTTTCGTCCAAATACACGGGCATCCGGCCTCAACCAGTACATTATCGCCTTGAGGATAGGGTCATCGATTTGAATGAAGGGAATTGCAAGTGTGACTTGCCACACTGAAAGACATTGATTCAATGTCTTGTTTGAAAAGACTGGAGGCGAGTTGACAAAAGCTGAAAGGGAACCTTGATGATTTTCTTTGAGACATTGAGCTTGTACATCGTCTTCGGTAGGTGGAAGCTTTGCACCAGCCTGGATAGCCTGGCGCCGACGAGGGCAGCCGGCACCAGACTTTCCGGCTGCACAATTACCGTCCCTGTGCGTCTTGAGATTTGACCAAGAAGATAAGCTAATTCGGACCACCTTGTTACACCAAAGGCAAGGGTAAGAAAGGCCAGTTTGGTCAAGTGGCTACAGGAATAGTTTACATGTTAGCTGAATGTTTGAACGGAAGAAGGAAATCATGGTACGTACATCTTTTTCCCCATGAAATGGCTTTCCAAAGAACGAGTATGGACTGTCAAATTGTTCATTTGGCTGATTCCTTTTGCGTTTCGTAAGACGCGCGTTCTTGTCATCTGAATCCTGGGCCAAATCGACTTCAGGAGGACCCGAGGCCGAGTTTATCTATGGTTTTTGATACACAACTATCAGCGTCAGGTAATGAATGTGTGATGAGATTGAGAGGAAGTTAAATTACTCACCGCAGTTGATGTGGAAGTGGAAGAAAACAAGTTGACTACAGTTGCTTCCTCGGAATCGACATCATTACCAGACACCGAGTCAGAACATCCGCGGTTGACCTACAGTAGTATTTTGGAATAGGGTTGGGAAAAGTAGGCAATAAACAATGGAGTTGATCAATAAAAGCGAGACATTAAAAAGTTGGAAAAGATCTGATTGAGAACATCGACGACTTACAGAAGATGATGGACGTGCAACAGTTCTGGAATGTCCACGTGCTGGTCCGCAAGGAGCTTGAGGTTGGTCGCCTGGTAATGAGGCCGACCTCTCTCGACGTTGATGGACATGGGCGTCTTGTACATCTCTGACTGAGAATAGGTCGCCCATTCCACGTCGAGAATCTGATGATGGGGTTATCATGCCAGAGGGTCTTCGGGCAGGGGTAACTATGCGAGAAGAACAACGGATGGGTACATTTGAAACGTTATCGGTCTCGTAGCCGGAAGAAACAAAGGAGTCAATCGTTGGCTGTTTGTTCAACATGACGGAAGTGAGTTTAAGTAAAAACTTGAGCGGATTTGTATGAAGTGGTAGCTATTGAGTGGAAAGATTGAAAGATAGGTCAGAACTATACAATGAAGGATAGGTGTGTTGATTGGAAGGTGAAAGGATGAACTCCTTTTATACTCAAAAGGAGGGACATTTGTAAAACACGACTTACCAATGTCTCGAGTCTGATGAGATCGGTCTCCATTTGTCCACATTTGACGGAATAGATCGTGAGGTTGGGAAAGGTCGTGGAGTGGGTATTTGAACTGTTGACTCTGGGCTAACCCAAAGGGGTGAGTTATTATCGAACGAAACTGGATAGTTGATGGATTCAACTAGGTGACCCGGTTAGGAGGTGACAGGGTGGTGGCTTGGTAGTGCTGGAGGTAGGTGTAACACTCGTTGTCCGAAACGTCTGCGTAGCTCTACGAGAGCACAATGGTTTGACGAGATGGAAGAGGATAGCTCAGCGCCTCCAAATATGGGGTCAAAATGTGAGCGATAAGCGTAGTGCCCGGGGCTGCTATGTGACAGCGCCGGGCGCTGCGCAGACCCGCGCTGCGCGCTCCTGCTTCCGCTGCGAGCCAGGCTTGTGTCGAGATCCGGCCTTCCAGACGCCTTGGGCTCAGCCCTCGGGGCGGTCAACCATCTTTGACTCAGCAAACAGGATGCACGGTCCATAGGCCGCCTGCTCCTTGCCCCAAGCCAGCCCTCAGCCATCTAGGGCTCGCATACCCAACAATCCAGTCGGGGGTCCATCTCGAGGCGATTTCATGGGTCACGTGACTGGCTCAGGGAAACTTGCGATTGAAGGTGTGTGCGAATGCTGAGCCAAGGCATACATCAAAGCACCACATCCCAATCTACACATGCAAGCTCGATACAAATCGAGAACATCTCATACGTGAGCCCACAAAAGCTGAGCCAGCAAACGTCAGATGCAGAATAACACACGCAAGAACCAGCTTGTAGAAATCGAGATTCAATACGTGAGCCAACTAGATTGGACTCCCCTTGCAATTGCCAAAGTTACCAACACAAGACACTTGTCCATGAGCGCCAGGGCGCACAGCTCTTGAGATCTTTGCAGGAACATCTCACGACAGCTACCTTCAAGTAAGCAAGGATGGATCCCCCTAATTCCTCTCTGGAACCATTTTTTGTGGCTGACTGCTGTTTGCATTTGCTTCTGTCCTCGTTGCCTTTGGAATCACTTCAGAAAACCTGTGTGCGCCGTCGAGCCAATTGCTCAGTTCAGCCCATTTCGTTTTCATCATTTCCTCAGCATTCCAAAATCTATACTTGTGCGTGCCATTTCTTAAGATAACTCCTTTGTTGCTCAGTTCAGCTCATTTCTTATTCATTATTTTCTTCACGGTTCCAAAAACTTACTTGCACCATGCCATTTGTTCTTACAATTTTTCCTTCTCAATAACATAGCTGTCGTAGGTCAAGAGTATCACACACCCCAGCCCCGCTCTCACAAATTGTGACCATGGCAGAACGTTCCCATCCACCGAATCCATGTAAGTTTGTGGGATGTCCCATTGTATTTCATGCTGCGCTTAGTACTGCCTTGCTTTGTTCCTGTAGATTTTGAGTTGGTGTCCACAGACCCTTCCAATCCTCAGTGGAAATGCTTGGTCTGTGTAGAACACATGGGCAATTTTGGCCCACATTCAAAAACAAAGCCTCACCTTGATGCTGTTGCTCGATACGAGGCTGGTCTAGCTGGCGAGAACAAGATGATATCTGGTCTCAATGAAGATGAGACCCCTGCAATCAACACACCCACACCTCAGGATAATCTCTTTGATAAGGATGGTCCTCAATCCAACACATCTGACGGGCCCCCATTGCCTCCTCCATGCTTCCGTACCTTTTGCCTTGCGGAGGAAAATCAGCCTGGCAATTCAGACACCTCCGACATGGACCAAATCAACCTCAACAAGCTTCTTGAAGCTACTCATGCCATGGACGCCAATGAGTGGGGTCCAAATGAGCCGGAAAGGGATGAGGCACTTCTTGAGGCAGACTTGCGTAACAGTCCCCTTCAGGACACTTCTGGTTGGTACCCGTTCAAGAAGAAAGAGGTTCGTTCACAGACAGACCATTCAATACACGTTACTGTTCTACCAAATTCAACATTGTGACTGATAAAACCCCACTGATTGATTAGCACATTGTCGCATTATTGATTATCGGATCCACTCGAAGCATTTTATCTCGCTCCCAATACCACCGTATCCACTCAATTTTGCATATATGTGATGTTAGCCTGCCTGAGTGGGGAGCGTTACGTGCGTTGAGCACCCGACTCAAGAAGAACCTTGGCCTTCAGGTTTCTGAAAGGATCAGTCCCCACGGTACCCCACTTTTTGGTTTAAAGGTTCAGACAATAATCACAAATGTGAGTATCACATTTGACCATCTATTTTAATTGACTTTGCTTTGAATTCCTGATTTTGATTTTTGATTGAGATGACAGCAACTTGCAAACCCATTGGTCAGCCCCTACTTGGTTTGTCTCCCTGAGCTACCCACCGCCGAGCCTATCAACCGCTTATCCCAGTCGCAAAAATGGCGCAAAGCTTTCAGCAAAGACTTCCAAGTTCAAATGGGTGTCTCCCGTGGGAAACACTGGTTTATTTATGAACCCATCCAGCTCTTCTCGCAAGAAGCTGTTGTGCCAGGCTTTTTTTACCAACAAAACGGGCAAACAATGGCCAAATGTCTTCCAACGACTCTTCAACACAAATCACATGACCCATCTGTTTTTCACATTTCCATACCCGCCAAACAGAGCTTTGACTCTAATCAATTTGAAACTATTGACGTCAAGAACTTTTGGAAAATGACCTCCAAAATCAAATTACCAAACAAGTCTAGTCTCACTGATCATTGCAGCCCATATTTATTTCGTGGGTGACCCTTTATGTTTGCAATTGTGACATTGGAAGTTTACCTGACTGTATGATTTCCTCAGATGAAGGACCCGATGGCATTCGCCAAATTGCTATCATCAATCCCTGGCGACTACATGCAGATGGATGCAAAATCAAGCACATTCCAATCATGTTGTATTCCGACGATACCGCCAGTAATGTATCCAAAAAGTGGAACAAGCACATGAGTGTTTTTTTTACACTTTCTGGTTTACCACCTATAATGACAAACCAGGAATATAATATCCATTTCCTGGCGATGTCGAACTGCGCTTTGGCACTTGAATTACTTGATGAGGTTGTTGATGATATCAAGTGAGTACACTCGCTCAAACCCTGCACTTCAATTCCAGTTCCTAACCAGTGAATTTTTCCCAGTCACCATAGTTCACGCGGATTCTCTGCACACAATCATGTGACTGGGCGTGACGTCTTTACAATGGTAGTTGTCTTATTCCACCTTGGTGATGGTCCCATGCATGCCGAAATAACCAACACCACAAATCCAGCCAACACCTTAACCCCGTGTTGCATTTGTGTGTTGCAAGTGGCGCAAATGAGTGAGAAAAAAAGTGAACAGTACATCTCCGACTTCATTGGAGTGTATTTAGACGGCAAACAGGTGCATTTTCTTTTTTTTCACTTTTGGATCATTATATTGATGTATATTTAGATTTTGGATGTAAATATATTATAATTTCTGGTCCAGTTCACATTACCCAAACGTGTTTGGGCTGCCACACGTGCACGGGCTTCGACGATTTGGGCAATGGCGCAAGAGCCGCACAGCAAAACCGCTGTCAAAACCAAAGCACGAAAACATGGATTCCGAGACTCAGTCATGGACTAATTGATCAAAGTGGTTAACGAAGCTCACGACTCTGATACCTCAAATGTGCAGCAGCTATGCGCCGATCTAAGTGCTCAACCTCGGACCTTGTCTCTTTAACCCAATGTTGAGGCTCAGAGGTATGATTGTAAGATGTCAGAGATGTCCTGCAGCGGTAGCTGAATTTGCTTCCATTCTCAGGTTTCAATGGTCACCAAGGCACACCTGTCGAGACCCTCCATGTCGTACTCCTGGGTATTGCCAAATACCTTTTCAGAGACACCATGAAGTCTTTTGGTATTTTGAAGCCCAGCTCCCAATGTTACCACAAATTTTCAGCAAGGTGGAGAAGTTTCAACACCAAAGGCTTGAACCTTGCCCCTATCCAGCCTAACCTTATCATTCAATTCTATCAGAGTCTGGTTGGAAAAGACTTTCAGACTGTGCTGCAGACAGTTCCGTTTGTCTTTTTCGATTTCATTCCCACTAACAAACGCCACTTGTGGATATCGTTGTGTCTTCTCTCGTCTTACGTCTTTCAACACGAAATCACCCAGATGGACGATTACCTGCAAGACACGGAAGCGGCAATATTGATGTTTTTCAATCAGCTGGTGAAGAATTCAGCTCAGTGGGTTAATAAACCAAAATTTCACATGCTGTGCCATTTGAAAGACTCTATTGATCGTTTTGGACCAGCCAACTTATTCATGACTCAGAAATTTGAATGCTACAATGGGGTTTTGCGGGCAGCTTCTGTGCATTCAAACCGCTGTGGTCAGCAAGATCTCTACTTAAGCAAAAAAATCAAAAATTGTGTGAAAATTCATATTTTTGGTCAAAGGCAAATTTATGATTGAAGTTATTAGTCATCAAGGGTATCATAGTTGATTCATAATCTTCATTTCATTATCTTTCAAATCGTATATTTATATAAGCGAATGATAAGACCATTTAAGAGTAAAGAAAAATTCGAAAAGATCAATAAAAATAGTATAAAAGGAAAAATCAAATCAAAGGAATTAGTAAGAAGGGATTTGAGGAAGAAGAACATTTAGTTTGGATCTTAAGGAATGGAAACTGTTATGAAAAGAATGAAAGAAGAAGAAGAATATTAAGAAAGTTGAAGGAAAATTCGAAAATATGGGTATGAAAGGCTGAAAAGTGGTTTTTAGGTTATTATTATAAGAGGTATTGGTTCAGGAAGGTTTTATTGTGAAAGGGAAGGACAACATTAGTCGTCAGCAACTTTAATCATGAGGATTGATAAGGGAGGTGTGAAATTATTCAAGAAAAGGGGAATTTCGAAAAAGGGTACTATGGTATTAATTCCTGTGTAGTGATGTCATTGATGGATTTATTGCGCCAAGAGTTTTTTCAGATTGATTTCAGTGCTGTGTGATTGATTGGAGTGCTGGGTAATGATCTTTTGATAGAAGAAAAATCATTATTAGACGTGAAAATAGTCAAAATTTGTCAAAAATGGAGGTTTTTAGTTAATTACATATGGTAAAACTTGTCAGATTTGGGTGTGTGATAGTTCATTCGACGCAGAATCATTCATTTCATAATGTACAGCCTTTAAATCATTAGTAACGGAGGAGTAGTGAAAAATTTATAAGGCAACAAAGAAACTGGAGTGAATTTTGAATTTGGAGGTTACATGTGACATTTACATGACAAAACTTTATTTTCTTAATCTTTACAACTCAATAACTTATTCATCGCACATCAGAAATAGGTCATATGGGGGTGATAAATGATCAGTATCACGAGGGCTATCAAATGAGCTATAGTAATCAAAAATTGAACAACTTTACAAAACATTTGTAATTCCAAAATGGATTTCAGCTATGAATATTAGGAAAAAATCACCTGTATTCATCATAAGAAGATCTGTTCATCATTTATTAACATCAATTGATCAAATTCACGCCTTGAATTGTTACAAACAATAATAATAATGACATCATATGGTTACATTGGAGGATTTTCTGTTGATTTTGACGGTTTTTGAGAGTTTTTGGAGGTTTTTGACCATTTTTGAAGGTTGTTAGAGGGTTATATACTATTGTCAGGGATTTTACGGGCCTTTGTTCCCTTTTTTACTCATCTTATACTTTTGTTAGAGTGTTTTTAATCATCATTAAATTACTTTAGCAGTACTAAGTTCACTAAATTGCCCCTTTACATCAAAGGAGAGATTTCTTTACGTGTGATAAGACTATAAGTCTTCATTGGAATAACAATCAAACTGATTGTTGCTTTTGCTAGTAATTAAAGTTATGTTTTGTTGTGCTCAGATTGGAATAACACTACAATAGTGTTGAGATCTCTTTATTTCTAAAAATCACGGGAATAATACTTGACTTAAGTATTGAGACAAATTTCTCTGGTGCCTTATCCCAAAGAATTCAGCAAAACCCCGTGTTGATTCTTTCAAAGAGGCAGTCTGAGGCAACTTCTACTAGTTAGTTATATTAGTAGATTATCCTCCTTTAAGCTCTGTAAAGCTCTTGTTGACCTTTAAGTTCTACACCGCATGAGCCCGGGACATGATATCGCTAACACTTTCACCAAATATCAATTGATGAGGGCGCTTCTCTCTGGTAACACGTTTTTCGACAAGGAACTGGCAGCTCGTACTGCTGCCGGGCCTCAAGTGCAATCACTCCTGAATACCATGCCGGAATTGTCCAAAAAAGCCTATCAATATGCGGTCATTACTGCTGGATGTAAGTTTCATTTTCTTTGATTATTTCCAACCGATCTGACCACATACCTGTTGCTGTTCCAGCTTGTGTGAAAGATTCCGTTGAAGTACCTCCCTATCTGGCTAGTGAGGCACCAAATGCCGCGTGGATTGAACTTGCAAGTGTTACTCTGGTGAACCAACAGAGGGTGGAGAATGAAGACTTTGTGAAGGTAATTCATGCCACTTCCTTACAAAATCTGTGGCGTGCAAGGCCATTCCAACTTGTTTGTGTATCTCACTTTTTTTCAGCTCAAAAACACCATAAGTGTCAGTCAAGTTGTCGGGATTTGGCAGCCAGACAGAGCATTGGCCACTCGAACCGTAATCCAACTTCAAGACACACAGAAAGGACCTATCTCGACGTATTACGGAATGCGCAAAATACTTAGGACAATACGGCGTAGATGGGTCAAAGTCACCATAAGGCACTGCCATTTTTTCGTCTACATCGGCCATATGCTGATATATGCGAATCAGGAAATTGATTGCATTTTAAACGTTCAACATAACTGTCATCGTTCTTTGTGCTCAGTCACGGACAGTGGGAAGAAACGTCTTGAAAGAAGAGAAACTTCGGCAAAAATCAGCATGATTGCCCATAAGCAAACCAACCACTTTATCCTGAACAGCGCGAGTCACTACTCAACCAAAACGCATTGAGCCGTTGCAAATCTTGACACTTGCCCTATTTCTGCCGCTGAATGGTTGGCTGCCTTCGAAGAGGGCTTAAAAGTTTAGCGCTTGGTTCCGGTGAAAG